ACGGTAACTGACGATAATCGGTGCTTTTTGTATGGAGTTTGACAGATTTTTGACGTTTGTCAAAGTTAAAGTAAGATGATGCAACTCATGCAACCCAGCCTAAAAGTGGCACTGTCAAGACTTAAAATACTTCTTACTTTTACTTGCCAAATAGTGTTAAGGAAATAACTACTCAGAACTTTACTCGGAGATCGTGAAAGAGGCTCTAAGAACTATATGTCTACCTATGTACTTATTAAAGTGCCTTGATAAATAAATCAATACATTACATTGTTTTATCATTTTACCCGATTGTAATCAACGTAAACTTTCCCTATAATAGCTATACATTTGACTAAACATGATTATCACGTAATAATGTTTTAGGATATAATTGCATTAACTCTGATGCAGCCAGATAAATTACATTAATCCCAAAGTAAAATCAACCAAAGTTTTTTTTCGAATTTTAATATTTTTTCGCAAACAATAAACACTTTGTCTGAACACGAGTAAATTGCAGTGTCCAGAAGAAATAACAAGAAGCGGTCTACATTTAAGGAAATAGTCCTGGAGCTATACTTTTTTTTATTATATTTTTTAAAATTTGAATACCTAATTGCGCTGTAGGTAGTTGCATTTGAGTAGTAGAATCAATCCTTTTAGTTTGATCGTCTACCAATAGGTCACTTTGTATATTCCCCGTAAAGGATTTCAATTTAAGTTCCAGTTTAACTGTATAATCTATTAACCTACATTTCTTTTTTCGTCTTTATGCCAAATATTGGGAAAGGCATTGAAAACTAAATAATTAGTAAAAATAACAAAAAGCTTTAAAAAAGTAACTTGCAAGATTGTAAAGTAAATAAAAGCTTGTAAAAAAAAGCTCTATGTGCTAAAGTGGCGCCGCTCTGGTGACAAATAAATAACTGGGTATTTTTGTTGCCTGTCTCCTGTACTAAAGTTAGTAATAATATCTGCAGGGGGCCGAATAGTCAGCATTGTTCAGCGCACAATGGGACAGGCCCGGCAGGCCCGGCAGGCCCGCTAGGTTGCCTTGAGAACAATCTGAATCTATAAAGAAAAGAATCGCTTCGTTGTCTTTAGGGTGACTACGATTCGGCGGAAACTGAGTCTGTCCTATTCCCGCTTTTGCACTTGTGCTATTTTAGGGAGTAAAATCTTCATAATTATTAAACCTCTATTAACATTCTAACTGACCTATAAATAGGTACGCTGCGTCAGATAGAGCTTTTTTAAAGGACGCGAAAGTTTGGATTTCTGTATGTTTGTTACTCTTTCACGCAAAAACTACTGAACGGATTTTAATGAAACTTTACAGTATTATTGTTTATAACCCAGAATAACATTTAGGCTATTAATTATGACGATATGTGACAACAAACATCTTGACATCCATACTTTCGCATTTATAATATTAGTAGGATGTAAATTAATATGATATAAATTATCGTGTACATCATGTTACTCGTGTTAAATGCCTAAATTTTAAGGTAATCGTTACATTCGAGTAAGCGCTCTACAACTAACGTCACTGATATACCAATATATGTGGTCACCCTATTTGCGTATAGTAGATCTATAAATAATATTGTAAAGAAGTTGTGTTATTTTCCTAAAATGTTCTGGTTCTTCCAAATCTCTTTTTTTCCTGAGCTAGGTATTTGTTAGGCCTACATACTTCCCGAGATTTTTCCGATAATATCATACCTATATTATATTATGGACATTATTGTGTTTTACACTATACATAGGAGGAAAACAAACAACTATAATTAAAATGAAAGCAATGATTTATCGAACTTTGTAATTATAATAGTTTTAGAACAATACAGAGTACACTAAAATACCGTGCTAAAACTGAACTCTTCGGGACGAAGCACACTTAGCCAACCCGGATCCGGATCCCGGTAGCTAAAAAGAACTTTTATGCCTTGAGTCACATTTCAACCTCGACGTGGGGTCTAACGTTTAAAATCCTCCGAGTAATACAGTGTGAGTCACGTTAAAGTGTACATATGAAAATAGATGAAACTAGAACTATTTTTATCGACAAAAAAGAGGACAAAAATTTTTTGACATTTTTTTTTAATTTTTTATCGAATTTTTTTTCATCCAATTACTTATTGTAAAGAAAACGTAATAACTTTTAAACTAAGCGGTATATCCTGATAAAATAAAAACAGTAATAATGCTAAATAACAGGCAATACTAAAAAAAAACATAAAATACACAAAAAAGGCCAACAAATAATAAAAAATGATACTTTTTGAAAAAAATCTGCTTAAAAATTCGTGTTTTTTTGGTTATTTGATATTTTTTTCCAAAAAATGTCCCTATAACCGGTGGTTTTTATTACTTTGTATTATTCTCTATCGTATTACCTTCGTAAAACCAAAAATCGCATGTCTCTATCCCTATCACAACGTTTGCAATGATTGTTTGAACTAAGCCTCTCCGGGCGCGCCATTCAACGCTTCGTTAAGAACGAAACTGAAAATGGCTCTAGATTTGTAATTTTGATAAAGACAAGTTAGATTTCAAATAAAAACAAAAGATTTCGTAGTAAAATAAGCATTTTAGTTAAAATTAAAATTGTCTCTACCTGTAGCGGAGAATAATGTTGTGGCAGGCCTTTGTTCAAACGATCATAGCAAATGTTGTGATAGGGATAGAGACATGCAATTTTTGGTTTTACAAAGATAATATGACAGAAAATAATACAAAGTAATAAAAACTACCTGTTATAAGGGCATTTTTTTGAGAAATTTATCAAATAACCAAAAAAATACGAATTTTTAAGGAGATTTTTTTCAAAAAGTCTCATTTTTTATTATTTGTTGGCATTTTCTGGGTCTTTTATGTATTTTTTCAGTATTGCCTGTTATTTAGCATTATTACTGTTTTTATTTTATCAGGATATACAGCTTAGTTTAAAAGTTATTACGTTTTCTTTACAATAAGTAATTGGAAGAAAAAAAATTCTATAAAAAATTAAAAAAAAATCTCAAAAAATTTTTGACCTCTTTTTTGTCGATAAAAATAGGTCTAGTTTTATCTATTTTCATATGTACACTTTAACGTGACTCACACTGTATATTCGGCCACTTATTTAAGCTCCATTTGCTATGGTGCACCAGATTGGGCTGACAGAGCTACTATAGGAGCCGCTCGACGGAAACTACTCCAAAGTCAACGCCTTGCATTGATTTTTCTTTGCATAGCTTACAGAACTGTGAGCACGGAAGCTCTGCCAGTCCTGGCTGGCGTACTGCCGGTCGACTTAGAGGTACAAAAGCGTGCGGCTATGTACTTCGCATCAAGGGAAAATATAACCTCCGATTTCTTAAATAGCCGCGATCGTTCTAAAATAAGTCGATTATTTGATTCCCGAGAAGTCGTTGAAGAAGATTTACTTAATGAATGGCAAAAAAGATGGGATACGTCAGTCAAAGGACGTCACTTATATAAATTCTTCCCGAATGTACGCGAACGTTTAACTAGGCGATGGTTAGAAATCGACCATTACTCGTCGCAGTTCCTCACGGGACATGGCAACTTTAAACATAAACTTCACGAATTCAAACTAGTTCCGTCTCCTTTTTGCGAGTGTTCCACTGATGATGTCAGTCATGAGCAGTCTGCCCATCATATCTTGTGGGAGTGTGATCTTTGGAAACATGAACGTGATATAATGCTTAATTCAATACAAAATACATCTGTTTCCGCAATTTATTACACCGATCTTGTCGCGACAAGGAAAAATTTCCGTGCTTTTAAGCGATTTTGGGAAAAATATTATTGGCAGGTAGTTGCTAATTGCTCATAAGATAGGCCCCCTTAAATTAATTTATTGTCCGTGGTGCATAATCTTTTCATAAAGGTTTTAAGCCTTTGTTTGTCACCTGTCATCCGCTTTGCAATGGAGGGAATTCGAACCTTAAAAATTACTAATGATAACAACTATTTACAAAATAAAAAATACTAAAACTTATTAATCTTTCCTATAGAAATAAAAATTATTCTAATGAAAAACTTACGGGATCAGAAGCTGGTATCGAATGTGCTGTAACGCTGAAGTCAATTATTCTCATCGTTTTTTCTTTTTATGGGTATGAAGACCACCTGGGCAGAATATCCCACTGTGTGTATGTTTTCCATATTTTTCAGGAACGCCATGGTCATTTTTCAAACTGCTGCTGCGTTCTGAACGTGACATTATCGTGACGGTACTTCCGATGGCATAAAACTAGTATGACGTAAAGTAAGAAAATGTAAACTGAACGGCACATGATGACCTTCTTTCCTTGCACACTGCTAAAATGAGACTGGAGAGACTTGTAATTGATTTTAAAATAAATCTGAATGAAGTAGCTATAGTGTAAAATACCGAACACGTGCGTTGCTGATGCACTACTAGAATGACCGTTGCATTTTCTACGACACAAATGTATGGTTATCTCGTGTATAACTTTCCAATTAGACTAGTTGCCCGCGTGGCTATGTCTGCTTTCCTTTTTCAATTAATATGATTTATTTACCTAGTATTTATTTGTCTAATACCCGTAGCACAAGCTTTGCTTAGTTTGGGACTAGAAGCGCAGTGTAAAATGTCCAAGGATATTTATTATTATTTATTTATTAATAGGTACAGTTATTGTTGTGGCGGAGATTTGGGCTGACACTGTAGGTTTGTTGTCGACTTGACAAGATATGTACTTAAGCCTATTTGGAACTTTTCTGTCAGATAAACTGCAACTTTTGGTTTTATAGATCTCTGACAAATATATCGGGCAGAAAGGTAAAGTTACGGTCAAGTCTACAATTATTATCTATCAGGTAGCTATCAAAAACTTTATCAGGAACCTATGAAACTGGCCCTCAGCTGTATTAAATTGAGTTAAAAACAAAAAGAGGTCCAACCTAAGCTTGTATTTACAGAAAACTTATTATGAGTGCATTTCCTTAATGGGATACGAATAAATGAATGAAAGCCTGGACATAATGAATGTTTATTTATTAATTTGATACAAAACACAAAATACCCAGCTATAATGAAGTTCCTTCACAATAATCATTAAACTGTTATAATCTATATTTGTACCTTCAAAAAGTTTACATTTAAAGCCACACCATCGTATACCCATTTCACATGTTGAGGGTCCACAAACGTCGGTGCTATGACCAGCTCTTGGTAGCTTCCGTCATTACCAGACGCTGTGATGGACACCACCCGGTGCTTCATTCTCACCTGGATATCTTCCTTCTGAAACCCTTTGAGAGGCACATTGATGCGATAGCTGTCTCTACCAGTGGTTTCCCTTGTGGTATTATGGCAGTAATATTGAAGATCCTCATAGATATCGTTAAGGTCACAGTGTATCTGGTCGAAGGGATCAGGTTGAGGGGTAGTTGTCTTCACAGTAGTTGTGGTTGGCACCGTTGTCGAGCTGGTGGTAGCAGGTGTCGGTGTGGTGTGCCACGGATGAATGAACCCGTGAACTTGGTGGTACTCCCAGGTGTGAGGGAAGTTGTGATTATGATGGGGATGGTGGAAAGGATGATGATTGGGTGGAAAATTGTGCGGACCAGGAAAGCTTGGTGGGTGATGGAAACCATGATGGTGATGGAACTCAGGGGTGTGATGGAACCCAGGGGTGTGATGGAACCCAGGATTATGATGGAACTCAGGATTATGACGGAACCCATGGTTGTGATGGAAAGGGTGACCGTGGTGGCCGGAATGGCCATGATGACCCCAGTGACAGTACACTGGTAGAAGACACAGCAAGAACAGGAAAACTTGTTGAGGCATGGTGACTCGACTTGCTCACACTCGGTCGTATAACTGAGCAGGAACGTATAGACTTTGCCGTTTTATACGACAGCGATAACCGCTGCATTGTTTATGCTAAAAATACAGTCAATAATAAGACAACATTCACACATAAGCGGAGCTTACAGCGGAAATCAAAGCTGAAAGCATTGTCGATGCAAATATCTAGCTAGGCCCTTTAGAAATTGGAAAACAGATGACAAATTGTCTTATGACGTAAGTTTTAGCTTATTTCATGCCTTGCTGTGGTTGGAATCTGACACCATTGAGTGGTGATGAAAAAAATCTTAATCTGTCACATACAGTTTAGGTTTGATTTCTTTCCGCTTCCGCTAGTTTAGCTTCGCGCTCTAGATCAATAAATTGTATGATAATACTAAAATATCGTAGGAATCATCTTAAAAAATAATAAGTAAATAAAAGGCAATTTAGGAACTATTTCGCCTGAAACACAGTTTTAAAGCCCTCTAAAAAGCCTAGCCTAGCTTAGACTGAAAACACAATCAATACAGGGTGCTTATTGTCGGCCGTTTGGTGTAGTGGTTCAAAACGGACTACTATGCCGAGAAGTCCCGGGTTCGATTTCCGGGCAGAAATTGAAATGATGAATTTTAATTTTTGTGACGGGTCTGGGTGTTACTATGTATAATATGTATTTATTAACAAAAAAAAATAAGTATGTTTATATCCGCTGTCTAGTACCCATAGTACAAGCTTTGCTTTGTTTGGGACTAGAAGCGCAGTGTAAAAATGCCCAATGATATTATTAAGTACCTTACCTTACTACTTCGCATTATTTTAAATTAAAAAAAAAAACAAATTAGGCTTATACTGCTTGTACGCAGTAATTTATTACTATCTTTTGTAGGTAGGTATACTTAATATGTAGTTCATATGGAATTTACGTTTAGATAAAGAGGTTAAAAACAACCTATTTTAGTAAAATTATATCTTCGGGTTTACCGATGAGCGCATACCTAATTCTACAATAACAAAATAAATATTTCTCGCTTCATCATTGATTTATTAATATTTACATAACATTAATTAATTAAATAATGATAGAAAATAATAATTTTTCAAATCGATTGAAATGCCAGCAACTGCTTTAATAATTGTTTCCTTGTGTCAGATAGCAACTAAAAAATCAGTAACCGGTGGAACTGTTAAAATCTTCAAATCAAATAATATCTAAAAGTTCAATTTTAGAGATAGTGCCAGTTTAAGCAACTTCAAGATTTTTTGCAATTGAAAAAACACTGTCCGTATTTAAAAAAAAAATCAGTAATTTTTAATGTCATCCTTTATTGTGTATTGAATTGATAAGAAAATGAATACAGTATTATTATGTTATGCCTAACCGAGCTCGCTCGTATCTCCTGGCCGTATAAAGCCAACGGTCCTATCACGCGTGCTCATTCGTCTGAGATTCACCAGTATTGCATCACGCGCGGAATCGGCCAATCGCCTGAAATGTATCGCTTCATACCACTAGCCTTCTTGGCAGTCTGCACGGGGAGCTTTCTCCAACCGTCGTGCCCACAGCACCGCTCAATAAACACAGACCACGAAACACTATTCGACGACCTGGCCCAAAGAGTTTTGGAGCTAGACAAGAAGGTTAACCAGTTCAACGAGATGCACTCCAGTACTGCTACAAAGGAGATCGTCGAACCAGCCCGCTACGTCATCGAAGTACCGTTAGAAGGTTACGAAGACAGTGACGTCATCATCAAAATCCGGAAGAGTGTCCTTCAGATCAACGCGAAGAAAGGAGTCAAGGAATACACACAAATGAGACTGCTTCCGACCTTCGCGAACGTGGATAAGTCTACCTACACCCTCGATGAAGGTGTATTGCAAGTCGTCTTCCCCATCAACAATGGGCCCTCCACGTGCAATACTTACTCTAGTGATTCTATAAAAATCGTCCCCAAATTCGAACTGTTCACTGGCCAATTAGGACCCCGTATGGGATGGGACGACGAGTAAAAATAGAATAATTGTGAATATTGTATACTTATCATAATTTTGATATTTCAAACTTAACGTAACACAACTTAAGCTTAATCATACGTTAATTAAGTTTGCTGATTATATTTTTATGGGTAAACTCGCTGTATCTTTTATTTTTATTAATAACAACTTTAAATACTGATAACAGAAGCACACAGAAGCTTTGGCTGGTAAGACTGACACCCGGGTTGGGATCTCAGTTGTTTTTTTTATCGAAATTTTCTTCTCCTAATTTGATAGCATTACAAATGTTTACAGCTAACGGATGAGTGCACCTCTCGTTCATTAAAAATAAATAAATGTTTTTTTTATGCAAAACAAGGCAGGTATTTGACCACAATCGCACCAATGTGGAAATAAATGAAAACTACTATTGTGTGTTTATTTACGATAAATACTTATTACCTCTTCTCTGGATTGGATAGGTAATTGATAGTCTGAATATAAATAATAACTTTGGACATTTTACACTGCACCATCTATTCCCAAACTAATTAAAAATCTTGTCCTATGGGTACTAACTAGTCAGCGGCTATAATCATAATTTTATATCGTTGTCGCTTATACCAAATGACGTCCATTGTTGTACAAGGCCTCCCTCAAAAAATTTAAACGATCATAGGAACGCACGATCTCTGTCCCCATCCAGTTGTTTCACGCGACCTTCACCTGATCGTTGGTCCACCTAGTGGGGCCTGCCCACACTAAGTATGTCTTGCGGCCCATGGTCGTCACTCGAGAACGGCTACCCCAACGGCTACGTTCTGCCCACTGCTATTTAAGTTTGGCAATTCTGCGGGCTACGGTTACTTTGTATATTGTCCCGAAGCAGTGGTAGGGTTAATACTGGGACGTGTAAAAGTGCTTTTTAAAAGCCTATTTGCATTGCACTTTGCACTTCCTTGTCACCACACAAGATAAGAAAAGAATTAATTAATTTTCTAAAACATTTGAGCAAAGTAAATAAATATGCTTGTGTCAACTACTATGGCGACAACAACAAACCTTGGCCATCCCTGACTGTTAAGTCCATCCTACAGAATACAGATAGTGTAAGGTTATCAAGGTCTCTGTTATCTGTACTGTGTGTACCATTCCCTAACCACTTCTTGACCTGGCTACACGCGTCGAAACTCTTGAAATGTATCTGATATTACTATTCGTCTTGGGTCTGGCTGCGTCCAGCTATCAGCACCACCACCGCGACCACACCCAACACCGAGTTGAATACCTTGCGAACATCTTCGAAGAATTGGCCAATGACGTCATAGCACTCGACAGGCAGAGCATCCAACTCTGCGAGGCGCACTCGATCGGTTCCATCAAAGAACTCTTCGAAGAAAAAAGGTTCAGCCTCAAAATATCCCTCCAAGGGTTTAATGACAGTGACGTCACCGTCCAAGTCAGACATAGAGTGATGTATGTCAACGCGGTGAATAAGGATCCTGTGAAACATTTCTCAGCAATCAAAGAGCTGCCAGCATTTGTCAACGTTGCTGAAGGAAAGTTCGATCTTCAAGATGGAGTTTTAGAAGTGGTGTTCCCCACTAGGAACGTTTTGAATAACTCTTGCGATCCTCACTTGAATGTTGATGTTGTAACATTGACCAAGTTTGAACAGTTTTCTGGTCAGACAGGACCAAGGTAGAGAGTGAGGACTAACTTTCTAAAACACCGTCACGTTTCTTATAATATTCTGTGTGAATAAAGCTTTTTCAACTGTATAATGTGTAATAAGAACTGTTGCTTTAAGTACGTTATTTTGTGGTTTACTATAAATAAACAAGAGGTTAATAATAAATCAATGCTTGGAAGGAAAACAGAAAACATAAATACAAATATACCTAAGTATGTAAATATTTACTCACTTTTATAGGTAGATTTGGTGGTTTGTATTTATTTAGTCTTTGTTGTACAACTACTCATTTGACGTAACTCAATGCTTCTTTAAACAGTTTTATTTTTTGTAACCATAATTTGGTTTAGAGGTTTTTCCTGGCCTTGAACTCAAGTACAGTACAGTACGAGGCGAAGAAGATCGGCAAGACTTGGAGCGAGATCAAACACATAGCTCAAGACCGAACGCGATGGAGGACTGTTGTGGACGCCCTCTGCCCCATCTAGGGGACATTATTTTTTATTTCAAATTTTCATCTAGTTTTAGAAGCATTTTAACATTATGTAAGGTCGCAAAAAAACTTGGATAGAATAGAATAGAATAAAATAATTGTTTATTTGCATAAAACATGGTATAGGTACTACTTACATGGTAAACATGGATAGGGTGACATACCTACATAAATAAATATTATTAAGAGAACTCTTGTCTTGTTTTGAGCATACAGCTTTAGGACAAATAAAGAGTGTTTCCCAAATTCGATGTCGCTCTCATTAATCAACATTAAGGTTAAATATTGAGGATTGCCCAGGATATTGAGGATTTCACAAATCCTTTTATATTGACTGAAGAGCCCCAGTAATCTTTTTTTCACTATATTTCCATACTACTAACAAATTATCGATTTTATGTTGACACTGACTAATCAATGGCAAAGAGCACGTTATCTAAACCTGCTTCTAAAAAATAACGGACATTTGTTTTGAAGGCCAATTTTATCTTTGGCTGGATTGCGCCATCTTACAACGACTAACGTAAAAAGTCAAATTCCATACAAAAACACCAGTTAAAAGACATTTTGTATTTAACCTACACCGCACTTACAGCTTTCTGCAAGATCCAAAGATTGACTGGCGGAGAATTTTTTTAGCATTAAGTCCACCTTTTGTAAGATATATTTTGTGCAATAAAGTGTTTCAACAAAATTAAATCAATTGATTAAAAGGTAATTGCTTAAAAGAGAGCTCACATTGGTTGGTATCTGTCTGTTACTCAGAGAGTAAGTAGTTAAGTAAACAAAGAACCTAATTGAGACTTTAATTTAACCTTGCTTTGATGATCTGATGCTCAGAAAGAATATCCTTTCTAAGCATCAGATCATCAAAGCAAGGTTTTCCAATTAATAAGAAACAATACCAAAAACATTCGCAAGAAAATACCCAGTATGATAAGGAGCAGGTCAGCGGTCATCGTTATCAATGTTATTATCATCTATAGCCCACGGCCAGTCGTTCACAAACCGTAGACAATCTTGCACGATGTACCGGATAATACTGCTCCTAGTGGCCATCCAGGCCTTAGCAGTCCAGAGCGGGTGCCATCACGACCGCTGCAGACACAGGCACCACGACTACAAAAACGGTCGCCACGAGTTTGATGGGGAGTTCCACGAATTATCCTGGGCCGTGGTCCGTGCTGACAGAAAAGCCCAAAGAGTTTGTGACGAAAATACCAACCATTCCACCGAAACCTTCTATAGTAATCACTACGAGATATCCGTCTCGCTTCCAGACTTCAGTGAGGAGGAGATTACAGTGAAAATCAAACACCGAGTCATCTTCATTCAAGCGTTCAAAAGCAATCAAAAGGTGTTTTCGGAATTGAAGATCGTTCCTGAATTTGCGAAAGGCAGCAATGCTAGCTGGAGGTTTGATGAGAAGGTGCTGAACATCTACGTGCCTTATGAGATCACCCTTGGCACAGAAGTAGTCAGGGTGTGCAACAACACCATAGACGAGTCGGTGATCACACTACCAAAGGCAGACATCGACATGCGTTTCGGTGACGATGAGACGACCGTTACTCCGTTAAATGAAGATAATTTGTAGTGTGTAATACTTACAAGGTGTGGTGTTACTTTTAAATAATATGAAAAAAATACACTAATGTTGTTTGTCTTATTTTGATATGAAGTAAGGTGTCTATAATGATATTACTTGCCGTTTACTTGCCTATGTAATTAGAAGTTTCGAAAAAGATTGCGTATAAAAACATTAAATAATAATTACTTGCTTGTTTAAAAACTTTATTATGTATGGGAGTGCGCACACTACGCGCCGATTCGATTTGGCCGATTCTTCATACAAATTAAAATCGGGCACAACTATCGGCCAACTAAAAATCAACGGTGTGCGCCTACTCTTAACACCTATGTCGTGCCTATGTAATTATAAAGTGTCGCCTGTCATATGGGCACCCAGGCGATTTCATCCAGATAATCAAAGTTGTCAAAGTGGAATAGACCAAACTTTCATGCGCCTTTTCTAATATTTTTTATTACTGACATCTCTGAAAGGATGCCTGAATTAAAACGTAACAGACTGAAAAAAGTGGCTCCATCTATAGAAACTCGCATAAACTATTACGTTTATTACGTAAAGTATTCTGTAGTTCCCTTGAACATAAATAGATGGGCTTATGACAATAAATTATTATTTCTACTTTTATAAAGTTATCTTTACGGAGTCATATTTTTTTAAATAAGTAGGTATTACAATATTTGCCGTAGATAAAAAGAAAAAAAGGAATTTTCCTCTTTGCATTCCGAGAATAGAGTAGAATAGAATAAAATAGAAAGTATTTATTTGTCTCAAAACAGGTTGGTAGGTATAATCTTGGCGACCAAAGTTTTAGTGGTAGAAACTGGACGATTCCAAACGATTAGTTAAGGGACTAATAACAATCATTCATGTTTGATTCATTTGACAATCTCCTGTTTGTTCTGTATGCTAATTACCACTAATCAAACTAGGTTCACTACGACTTGCTTCAAATAAATTTTAAACTATTCATAGTATTTATCTTTTACTTGCTCTAGCGTGTGAGAAACTAAGTACCATTGATAAAATAAAAAGCAAATAAAATAAGATATTGGCCATTTTTGGTCGTTTTTTTTTCCCTCATCTGCAATCATACATAACCATAGAGCAGATTTATTCCTTGTTTTAACATGGCCAAGGAGCTCTCCAGCAGGACACCTCTCTTTCACCATCTGTCATCAATACTTTGTACGTATAGGTACTAATGGCGTTTCAGTCGTTTAGTGTAGCGATTTCAATTTAAGCATAGTTTTCTTTATTTGATCCTGAAGTTAGAATATCAATAGTAAAAGTCGTGTTTTAATGTAGGCCGAAAAGTCACCGTACGAATTTTAGAATTGTCGATAGCCATTCTTTCATTTTCATTCATTTCACTCATTTCAGTGAATAAAAGGGGTTACCTACATACACCATATCGAATTACAAAAATGATCGAAAATCAAAATATCGAACACGTTTCATCGAACGATCAGAATATCGAACGATCAAAATATCGAATGCTCAAAATATCGAACGTTCAGAATATCGAATTTACAAATGATCGAACGATCAAAATATCGAATGATATTTTGAGCATTCGATATTTTGATTGTTCGATATTTTTATCGTTCGATGAAACGTGTTCGATATTTTGATTTTCGATCATTTGTAATTCGATATGGTGTAGGCCCGAAAAAAAGACTCAACGCCTGAAAGTCGTTAAGGTTAGGTCCTATATGTATGATAATAGCGACCTAAATTCACTCTCGTGTTAGAATTGTATCGAATTCGACAGCAGAAGCAAATGGTAGGGTAGACAAACACAGCAGCCGCAGACCGCTATCAGCGCGCCCAGGCCGACACAGCAAACACTATGCGTCTATTGCTGAGGTTATCAGTGGCTGCAATGGATTAACCGTTATTAACTAGCGTAACTATAACAACTGATAAACTTAACAAAAAGAACTGTCGATTGTAACGTAACAAAACACATTGTACTTAAAGTATTATACAAAGTTGCTTTCTTTTGTCTGTTCCTATGTATGCTTAGATCGGTCTTTTTAATAAATAGAGTGATTCAAGAGGAAGCTAGTTTTATATAAAGAACACTAGCTTTGCCCGCGACTCCATTCATCTACTGAACAAGTTGCCATAGCAGCCATAGTTTGATGAGTCGTCGTCGTCTCTACTAAATGAGCATTTTAGTGCCAGAGTTTTCTTTCAATGTTATCCATCACTACTTCATACGCGTGAAAATAGTAACTAAACCCTTATGTACTTAATATTAAACACTTACAACATGTACGTAAGCATAAACATGACTAAACTATAGTAGCATCCTTGGATAGAATCATACGGGAAATTAATCATTTTCGAGCATTCAATATGAATTACCTATGTTGAATACATTACTTCCTGTATGGAAGTAAAATATAATAAACTATGCTATAAATCTAAATATATTTATCTCAAAGGTGACTGAGTGACTGACTGATTGACTGACTGACATAGTGATCTATCAACGTACAGCCCAAACCACTGGACGGATCGGGCTGAAATTTGGCATGCAGGTAGATGTTATGACGTAGGCATCCGCTATGAAAGAATTTTACAAAACTCCACCCCTAAGGGGGTAAAACGGGATCCACGCGGGCGGTCGCTAGTTCAGTATAAGCACGCTAACCTGATATTTCTTATTATAGTGTCTAGTTTGCTCTCCAAAATTAGTATCTAAATTGAAAAAGAGGCTGACAAAGGTGACAGAGTTTCCTCCGTCACTTGCTCTTAGCATCAGCCCATAGTTATGTTGTCCCGAAGTGGTGGTAGGGCAATAGGACAACGCCTCCTCCTCCACTGCACAGGCTACCACCGCCGTCGGACGCGATTGGCCTCGTGGTCCCGGCTAATCCTGTCGGCCCCCCATTAAGTGGGGGCGTGTTGGGTCCCGTCGTGTAGGGCGGGACGTCCGCGGCGCCTTGGTCGTTTCTAGTGCCCAAGGCGCCGACCACTATGCGGCAGAGGGAACACCCCAGGTTTTTAGTGGGTTAGAGCCCCACATAACCTGCCGTCCCCCGGAGGTATGGATAGGCCATTTTCCTGGAAAAAAAGGGCAATAGGACAAGCTATATTTGGGCGTGTACCTATAAGCGCCTTGGAAATTGCCTAAGAACTGAATAAATGATTTGATGTAATAGGATTTGATTAGTACCTACATACATAGAGTCATGGACTTATTATCATCCAATTAGATTTTCTAGTTCCCATTTTTTCTTTATATTTCCGGACATCGAATTAACGAGATAATAGAGGAAAGAAACATTTTATCTTTTATAACTGAAATTCCCCAAGTTATCGCTATTTATTAAACACTGCTTATATTTAGCAAACTGAGTATATCTCATAGCTGATAACCTTTTGAAATGGCTCGCGTAAGTAAATGAGGATAATTTATTTAAAAGATGGACTATGCTATTATTCTGTACGTCACCAGAAATAATACGTGGTGTAAGTATGTAGGTACGAGTAAGTGCCTTTTTCCTGTATGCGGATTTCAGCACGCGTGCGTGTTCGTTCATTCGTTCGTTTCAGCCAAATGACGTCCACTGCTGGACAAAGGCCTCCTCCAAGGTTTTCCACAATGCACGGTCCTGCGCTGCCCGCATCCAGGCTCTTCCCGCGACCTTACGAGATCGTCGGTCCACCTAGTAGGAGGCCTGCCCACGCTACGTCTTCCAGCCCGTGGTCGCCACTCGAGAACTTTTCTGCCCCAACGGCCATCGTCTCTACGAGCTATGTGCCCCGCCCACTGCCACTTGCGTGTAGTCCGCGTAACGTAAATACCTAATAGGAAAAACATTTGTATGAAACCACAGATCACAGAAACTAAAGGGAGATGTTCCAAGGGGCCGGGGCCGGTGTCGCAGCAATATGCCCAAAAACAGAACACATTGCTGCAGACGTCATAATGTAAACAGTTTACATTGCTTGCGTAGTACCTACTAAAGAATAGTCGAACGTGGAGTACTGATACCGCAGTGGATAATGAGCACATATTGATTACTTTGTTTTATGTCAATTTCTAATGCGACACTCAGTTTCGAACTCCGCGCATTAGTTCTCGCATTAGCATTAGCGCTCTCTCTTCTCTATGTATGAAACAATGAAATGCGGGCAGCTCGCAAGCGGGCCAAATCCGCACGCGTGTCGAAATCCGCACGCGGATGAAAATCCGCACGCGTGTCGAAATCCGCACGAGTGCCGAAATCCGCATCACAAGAAATAGTCACTAATGATCAGTTTGGTAAAACATTTATTAAGTGAAGTCCTCGTGCCAATAAGTATCTTATCCGATATCTTGTCTTCCTAAAAACGAAAGCTAAACGTTTTATAATAATTATTTACTCGTTCACTATCGGTCTTACTTAACACTACAAACATTATAAAACCCTATATATGTCATTGTATGTAAACCTCTAACAATAAAATAATTTCTTCAAATATTTAGGTTATAGATACAGATGACACCAATGATCACATATTACCTGCTTATGAACTACCAAAGATTAGTTATAACGTATTGTGTTTATCCTATAAAAATAGTAGGTAATTGTTTGTCAGTCTGTCCTTTTGCACCCCTGATAAAGCGACATTAATTAAATACACTCGGGACTTCACAGTATGCTATCACAAAGGTAATAGTTGTGATTGTAAAATAACGATAACTTTAAGACAATAAAATAATTACATCTTAATCAGTCTTAATACTTAGATGCTATATTTCCACATAAATAAATGTTGTCGACTACCTGCTACCTATTTTCTACATTAACTAAAATAGTACCTATCCATCAATATCGATTTTTGTCTTTACTAGTTATTAATTTAATTGCAATTAAGTATAATTAAATTAATAAAACTTTTATCTTTTATTTGTTGACCTTTAGTTAGCCCAACAACTTGTAACTAGTTAAAATTTACTTTTGTGTACCTATGTGTGTAAAATGTGAAGTTTATTCTTTCAATTTATGAAAACGGTGACTAGCAAATTGTACTTTTGTCAATAAACGATATTTTAGCTATCACAG